TTAATATTTTATATCCAATATTTTGTAAAACAAATAAAACGATATAAAACGAATAAGTGTGACCAATTTTTGAAATGCAACGTGTAACCAGCTCAGTTTCAAATCAGAGTTTGAACTGGGGTTTAACCACGGTTTGGAATGTGTAAACCAAACCGCATCGGTTCGGTTTCAAACTGCTAGTTGAACCGGTTTGGGTTAAACCGTTCCCATCCCTATTGTTATTATTCAGTTTTGTATTACATTGGAAAATCACCCAATCAAATTTCAACACTACTATATGTACTATATGTACTATACGCACTATACATAAAGTGTCGTATAGTGTTCAACTATACCCATTTGCCCATCTCTACCCGGGTCAAACCCGACTCGTTTTGAGCTCTATACACAATTTCTTTTTCCAAAGGTTAATGATTAAACAAAATCAGAAAGAATTATTATGATATATTCTTGTAAGATCTGGCAGTGTATGGATCATAAAGAATTGTCATGCAGCCATATTGTGTTATTTTTAGAAAACAGGTAGAAAATTCAACATCAAAAATTCTATTTGATATATTTTTGCAATAACAATTATACTATCAATTATTAATCACTTTTTTTAGATCTGGTGGTGTACAATCAGAAAGAATTGTTACGCGGCCATATTTTTATTACCCTTTTAGAAATAGGTAGAAAATTCAACATCAAAAATTATATATAACAAGATTATATTTTATTGTTTTTTAAGAATAACAATAACAACAACAACATCAGTATGCAATTAATAATAATATCATGAAAAAATGATTTAATAAACAATTAAATATAAAAAATACAATCTTTGTCACATATTTATTCACCAATTCCAATATTTTTGTTTGATTTTTGTTCAAATTAAATTATAATAATAATAACAATATCAGTATGTGATATTGTGTAAATTAAATATAAAAAATACAATCTCCGCATATTTATTCACCAACTCCAAGTTATCATCTGATTATAGTATATTAAATATATATGAAAAATAATCTTAATACAGTGCGTAATGTGTTAAGCCATTGAATCTACCTAATATAAAAGTGTATCTTTCAATTGAAGACGAATCTTTCTATTAGTAATATTATGTTGTATGTAATATTATAATTATATATATTTCTTTGTCTATTTCGAAAGCACTCTAATAGAAATATTATGGTGCGGGGTGAAATTCTGATTGGCTAATTTGAATTTCACATATGTAAATTTGAATTTCACATATGTGAATTGCGAATTCACATAATTTCATTCTCACGTACAACATATATAAATATTAATATCAATATACAGTATATTAATATTAACATTAATATCGGTCCAAAGTTATAACATACAATCTTAAAAAATTCATTAATTGTACAATGTAAATGTATAATTGCCAAAAAATTATGATTAATTGTGCAATCTATAAAAATACATTTATATAAATTCAATAAAATACTTGAAATAGCAATTTGTTCATTTTTATGCAAGAATCACACAATAAATGCATAACAATATCAACTTTTTTGCAAGGTGTAACACGCGTAAATACACTTGTGGAAATTTAATCAATCTTAAAATAGCCCGGGATTATAATATAAAAGGGTTGACAGAAACCTCCCCATAACCATTAATACTCGTACACAAACACTTGTATTAGAAGATACAATAAGTTTTGCATATTAAACTTATATTGATTCATAAAACATGAATAAATCCGTTGAACTTATTTCAGATCCTATTACGTTTGGAGCTCAAGATCAACGAGTCTTTAAGCATGTTGACTTGCCCGTGGTGACAGATCAGGTATCAGTGACATTGCGATTGAAAATTTTGAGTCATAATCCTAACTGGACTACTATTTTTCACAAAGGTATGCTTTTTGCATCGTCAGCAAAATTATTGGTTAAAATTGATTTTTTTTTTAATAATTTATCCAACTGGTGATTTCTCGGCTTCAAATAAAATATACATACATTTAGGTAACAGTGTTGTGGACTGCACACCTGTGATTTGGATATTTGGAGAGAAACTGAGTGCTTACTTTTCAGACAACCCGGATAGTTATGTAGCAATTGATTGCTCCACCACTTCCCCACTTGCATTAAACAAATGGTACCATATAGCCTATACACTTTCTGATTCTGAAAAAAGAGCAGATCTTTACATAGATGGTGAATTGGCCAGGTGCTATAGCCTTAATAACGTTAAAACGGACAAGATTGTGTTCAATGATGGACCACTATCTATCGGAAAATCTCACGGCTATGATGCGGTTAATGGAGCAATCAGGTATAGTTTGTGATACTAATGAAGTTGATCCAAATCACAAAAATATTAAATGATCATTATATCAAATAGTAATTTTCGTTATCATAACTGGCGCTTATCTGCTAAAGAAGTGAAGGAAGATTTTAAAGGCGATAAAATTAAAGAATTACTTCAAAATAACCAACAATGGTTAAGTGAAAATAAGGATAATAAAGAATTTTTTGATAAACTTAAAAAACAAGAACCAAAAGTTCTTTGGATCGGTAAAGCTTAAATTGATTTTTATCATTATATATAGTTGTAAAAAATAGTATCTGGTGGAGATAATTTATTTGTTCATTCATTCATTCATTTTAGGATGTTCTGATTCTCGCGTTCCGCCTGAAATCATCACTAAATCGGGATTTGGCGAATTATTTGTGCATCGTAACATAGCAAATCAATTCAACCCCGACGATGCTAATTGCTTGTCAGTGTTAGAATATGCTGTCAATCATTTGAAAGTTTCTCATATTGTTATCTGTGGTAAATAACAATAACAAGTTTTAATTTAAAACATTCAATTCTTTTTAATGAAAATGATAAATAAATAATATCTTTTTATCCCTCTTTAGGTCATACAGGTTGTGGCGGAGCAAAAAACTGTTTTGAACCAAGCCTTGAATCTAATCTAAAAAAATGGTTGGAAGGAATACGTGAATTGGAAACGATAAACTCCGAATTCTCTCACACCAATCCAAATTTTGGAACTTCTGAAGTTCAAGACAAATTGGTCAAGGCTAATGTTGTGAAACAAGTGGAAAAAATTAGTAAAAATCTTCTTGTTAAATCTGCTAAACAAACAATACAAATTCATGGTTTTGTTTTTGATTTAAAAGATGGTTCATTATTAAAGGCTACATAAACATTGACTCAAAATAAATATAGCAAAACACAAATAAATAATAGATTTTTGTTAATAAAGTTCACCAAATCATAACAATCATAAATCATTTTATAATGAGAACATTGCCAAATCCTATCAAATACAAAATGGCTGTTAACACTCGGTAGTTAACCAACATTAATTCCAACTTTTGTTTACTAATTAAAGCAAATAAAACATAGCTTTTATACTAAAACGCATCGCTTTAAACGAAAAATAAACCAAAATAAAAAAAGTGGTAAAGGTTTAGGATTTATTTAAAAAGATAATTTGAATGTTAATGTTTTTAAACGAGGTCCCGAAACTGTTCCATCATTTGTTGTTTATAATACAGTACAGGTTGATAGTAAACATCATCCTAAATTTATAAATTATAAATTTTATTTTCATAACGCCAATTCTGGTGAATTTTACCACCATAAGCATATTGTGGTAATATATATATAGTGTTCCCAAAAACCTCTGGTCAACTATCATCATTCATTTTATTTTTTGACTATTAGCGTTCGTTTCCAAATTATAGAAACTGGTTCAACTTTTGACTTTTGTTTTAGTTTTGACGTGTAACTTTTAATCTGCCTCTCCAAAATAGTTTTGACAATGAATACTGTTGAGAAGGTATGAAGAAGCGTGGGCAGGTTTAAAAAAAAATAAATTTTATCTAAATTTTCAAAGTTGCCACCACCAACAGCAAGATTTACAAAACTGATCGGTCCCTTATCTAAACTACCCACCATATTAATATTTTGCCGTTGTGCTGGATATATCGTATCTGTTTACTTTAAAGAAAAATTTATTATCTGTTGAATCAAGTGAATTTATTGGTTTTTTCCAGAAAAGAGAAAAATCACTTATATAGAATTGTATGAATTTGTGTATATTTTTTAAGAGTATGAGGCCTTTCAATAGAAACGGACCATGTTGTGAAAAAAGCAACTTCGAGTTAATATCGCTGCTATATGTAACTAACATTTTGGCTTGGAAACTATATCCGTTTTACTTGATAAAATTTTGGGATACCTTTCTAAAGTTTTAAAAACAATATTAAATTACACCTTTTTTTTAATTCTCAAAATAACATGGTCCGTTTCTATTGAAAAGCCCCATAAGTGTACCTATTATTTATACGTATAAGTTGTAACTTTATTATCTATCTAGTTTTGATTTTTAAATTATCTCGTGTTTTTTTTCATATCAGATTACTGAAAGACTAGCGATATTTTTTGGAATTACCTCATAAAATTATGGCACTTCCAATGATTATTACATGATTTCCAAACTGAATTTTGACTTTATTTATATAAATGACCTAAAACTGTAGAGGTCGATTGCAATGGTTTTTTTATTAAATGATTTTAAAGACTTTTTTTTATTTAACCTATTAGCAGACTTGATTATTTATACAAGGTTAAAAATACTTATTATAATTTTATAATTATTAGGATTAGGATCAGGATTAGTGGTAGCATAATAAATAAATAATGGTAAATAAGTAAGTTGAAATTCTATAATTATTGATGTATATATTGTCTATTTCCGGATATATATAATATATATTATTACATTTCTTGTTTAAACGTTCTCGTGAATTTTCCCAATCTCATTTTGTATTTGATCTATAAAAAAAATAGAAATTAAAACATTATTAATTTTAACAATAATTAAGAAAAATCCCAAGTTTTTTTTAGTTACCTGCAAGATGATAATCTTCATGACCCACGGCCTCTTGTAATCTTTTTTCCAACTCTTCAAGACGAACTTTATCATCATCATTAACAACTTTATTATTCACTAAATCGATTGATAAATTAATAAAATCATTTTAAAAATCGTAAATCATCATTTTTAAAATCAAAATGTTTTTTTGTACAAACATGAATTTTCCAAATTATTTTGATTTTGATGATTGTTCATTAATTTATTTTCTTTCGATAAATCTCCTTTATCCTCCACGCCACCTTGTTTATCACTCAACAATACACCACCACCACCACACCTTAATTTAATATTTTCAATACGATATTCTATTCCTTTGATTTCATGTTTTAATAGTTCTTGTAATATTGTCAAATTTTTTTCTACTGATCTGAATATAATAAATAATTTATAACAAGAATTTTTGTCTTTATATTAGAAAATTGAAAATAATATGTAAAGTGTGTGATTATTTATATATTAGAGAAATACATACAAATCATATTTTGATCGAAGTTGTAGCAATATTTCTTGTAATTCCTCACGCAACTCAGATCCTATGGTTTTCAAAGAACAAAAATTGTCAGTAGTTAAAAATCAAAATCATCAACATCAATATCATAATAATCATAATCACAATTATCTTCATTAATTAATTAATAGAACTGAAAATTTTACCAATTTTTTCCTCAATTTCAACCAACTCTAAATTGTAATGTTCCAAATTTTCTCTTGCTTTTCTCAAATTTTCTTGATCAATTCCTAAACTTGAACGTTTTAATTCTAAATATTTTTGACGTTCATCTTTAGTTGCCAGTAAGTCCTTAATTCGACTTGATAATCTTCCAGCTGACTTAAAATCCCTTCCTTAATATTAAGTTATTAATAGATCAATTAATAATTAATTAATTCGTTTGTTTGTTTTATTAAAAAAAATTTTTTTACCAGAAACTGCTAATTTTTTTTGTTCTTCTAAAGATGGTATTTGAGTGTTGATTGCGGTAATATCTTGTTGAATTGTTGAATATGTTTGTTGGTCTTGTATAACTTTAGATGTTAAACGTTTAACTTCGCCATCGATTTCTTCTAACTTCTTCCTAACACTGTAGATTAATAATTAACGATATGTTATTACTATCATCACTATTGACAATAATGCATATCTACATACTTGGATATTTCTTTTTCACAATCAAAATCTCTTTGAGCTCTATCTTTTAACATTTCAACTAATTTTTCAATTTCAATAAATTCTTCATTATAAATTTTATTATTAATCTTAATTTCAGCTATATGTTTCTCCAATAATTCCAATTCCAATCTGCGCGAGTCATATTGTTTATCATAATGTTCTAATCTTTGATGTAATTTATTTTCTTGTTCGTCTACTAGTCTCTATAAACAAAAAATTTTATTATGATAAAAACAGGTATTAATAAAAACAACAATAACAACAATAATTGTTGTTCTAATTATTAATAATTGTAATTATTACCAAATTGTTTTCAATTTCAATTCCTCTTTTGTCTAATTCAAATTTTTCTCTTGCTAGTGATTCTCTGTCAGTGTTAAATTCTTGACTTAGGCTTTCTATTTTTTTATCAATTGCACCAATCTGTTGACTAAAGTCGTTTTCTTCAATTTTCAATTGTTCAATTTGTTTTAATAGATCCAAGATTTTCATCTTGATAATAACAATATTATGTGTATCAATATTGATAAATATATTAAATATATATATATATATATATATATATTAATAAAATAATTTACTTTAATTCCTTCTTGCTTATTCACTAATAAATCCCGTTCCAATTTCTCGTCTCTTGTTTTCTCATCAATTTTTTCATTTAATTCTGATTCTTCTTTACTCCATAAGTCTAAATCTAACACAATATTGCTATTTTGATGAATATTACTATTAGAATTTATTGCATTCTAATTTATTAAAAATCATTCGAAATCAAACCTTCTCTCTTTTTCAATTTCTTCTCTCAATTTATTAATATGACTATCTTCAACAGTATGTAAATTTTCCATGTCTGCTTTAAACTGCCTTAAATATTCATCTTCTTGATTCTAAATAATAAATATTATCATCACGAAAATTAATATCAGATTATAATACCAATTATTATTGTAATATATATTATTACTTTTTGTGTTGAAAGTTCCTTCTCTAATCTTCCATTCAACTCATTAATTTTTCTTAATAAATTAATTTGTTTTCCAAATAATTGATTCAATGTTTTATCAACATTGGACAATAAATTCTTTTTCTGCATCATGAATGATTGTAGTTCTTTTATTTTTTGTGTTAGTCGGTCAGCAATTGCATAATCCTCTTTTGTTAAAGAGTTTGCTTGGTCTGTCTCTAATGATTTCATTTTTTGCCAATTCTAACAATTCATGAAAAAATCGGAAGAGGGTAAGTAAACGAATAAATAATTGTAAACTTGTGAATATATAAACTTTTTCTATTATTACTGTCTAGATTTTTATTTACCTCTATTAAATTTCTATAAATTTCATTCCTATTATCATATAATTGTGATTGAGTTGTTGATAATTGATTTAGTTCTTTATATAAATTTGATAATTCCATTTCTATTTGTTCTTTAAATGATCGTGGTGACGGATGTGATAATTGATTTGGTGTTGGTGGTGTTGGCGGTGGTGAACTTAGCATTGAAGAAAAAGTTGATTGAGAAATTTGTTGCAGTTTAGGAATCATCCCAATAAAATTAGAAAACTTTGATTGTGATGTTAATGTTGGGATTATATTATTATAATTATAATTATTATTATTACTATTACTATTACTATTACTATTGTTATTATTATTATTGTTGTTAGCATTGGAATTGTCCAAGTCAATGCCAAGTTCTTCCAATGAAACTTTATTATTTGCTTTAGGTGAAATTTGACGAGACTTTTTTGAATTCATGGAGTTTGTATGATTATTATGATTTTGTTGAGATTGATAAACAAAATTAAAATCTGAGTTTTTTTTGATTGTCATGCAATAAAAAAAAGTATAATAAATATTAAATTTATATTGTGTGTGCGTGTGTATAATACAAAACTTGGAAAACCAATCAATCACAAACCTCCAGATGTAATTTCATCAAAGTTATTCAGAATTGAATTTCTTTCATTATGTGAATTATGGTTACGGTCACGATTATGATTATGATTAATGAAATCGAAATTTGTTTTTTCAGAATGATTTGGTGATGAAATTTCTCCTTTAGATTAATTAATTAAAAATTTTTTGTTTAAATTTAAAAACATTAATTATTATCATTATCGTTAAATATCATCACTATTATTACCATTATATGAAAATCTGAAAGCTGATGTCTTGTTGGGGTCCTCGACAATTTCACTTAATGATATATTATTGAATTTAGATGATGATGGTGATGATGGTGATGATGATGATGATGACGATGACGGTAATTCAAATGAATTTCCAGTGATAAATTGTAAATTGGAAATGGAACTTGCTGATTAGATCAAAGATTTTGACGAATACGGTGATGGTAAATAATATTGGGACGAGAAAGGTGGGGATTATAAAAATTTATAATTATGACATAAACAGATATTATAATATAATTAATAAAGTTAGGACCAAATAAGTTAAAACTAACCCATTTGCTTGGTAATAGTGTCCCATTGAACATTTGAAGGATGATCTGGTAGAATGGGTGGAAGTGAAGGTGTTTGTTGATGTTTTGAAAAAGATTGTTGTTGTGTCGTTGTGGTTTTTGTGGTTTTTGCAGTTTTTAGATTTAAATCTGCAAATAAGTCGTTTTCCTCTTCTGCTTCTTGAGTAGCAGCAGCATTTTCATTGTTTACAGTTTCTTTAAAAGTTTCCATATATAAAAATCGATAAGATCTGCAAAAAAATTTTTTGGGCGGAATCATAAAAGTATTACATGTACCTAAAGGAGCTATAACGATGATGCTAGAGGGTAATCCATCCAGCGTCTTTTTTAAAGCTAATTCAAGGCTAAAAGTGTGTCTTGTACATGGTTCTGAACTCAGGAATGGGTCAATAATTTAAGTAGTTTAATTAAAACCAATTAAAAGCAATAGACAACGAAAAACAACAAGGCTTCATCCATACATTTAAATAATGCAACTGCGCTTTGCGTGAAATGTGGCAATTTTTCAATAAAGACTTGATTGATAGTTTTGTTAAAGAATAGAGGTAAAAGGCATTTTTTAAAGACTCGCATAAAGCGAATATGATGATGGCTTTTCAAAAAAGCTGTAATTGTGGTTGTTCATCAATGTCTCCTCCTGAATTGCATGAATCTTTTCAAGTTTTTCCCAAATCATATCTTAGCTTATAGTAATTGATGGCGGATCAACAAGTATGAATAAATGTTTTAAAGAAAGAATCCGATCTAATAAAATAACATTCTACTGATGAGATCACAATGCGCTCCTTGTCAAAAAACATACTGGGGCTTATTTGAGAATATCTAGTAAATTACATTGGCTTGAATTTTACTATTGCCGGCGAAATCATGATATAAATAATTTAAATATTAATTACTATTAATAGATAGTTTGACACTCAAAATTAATCTTCATTTTTAACGCCAACAGATAATCGTTTTCATCCGGATCCTTTATATTTTTTATCAATAAATCGTATATTTTTATAAATTTAAATTTAATATTAAAATGTCTAAATTATCTTTTTAGTACATACGTTGCTTTATGAATTTTCCAAATCCACATTTAGCATCTTTAAAATTCATTAAACGGACTCGTTTTTTTTTTGCAATCATAAATAGCATAAATAGCTAATTCTTCGTTCCCAAATTTTTTTCTCTGCAAACATCATCACTTAAATGATCGGCATATTTTAAAAATAAAAAATTTTTATCAAACCGATAATTTTTCATTATCTTGCTTGATTAGTGAGTAACCAAATATATACTTTTTGATTTTGGTAGATAAAACCAAAGATATAGAAAATGTCTTTAAAAACTTATTTAGATGAGGTTCAAAAATGTATTGACACGGAGGATGTTAGATGTAAGGAATTATTGAGTATAACTTTACCAAGGGTTAAAGAATTAGTTATTTTAATTGAGAAAATAGGTGTAAGCGATCTATTTTATTAGAATGATTGAATTGTCAACTATTATTGTCCTAATAATAAATTGATTGGTTGAATTAGGAGAGAAGAGTAGAAATTGAAACAAGAAGAATTTTACAAAATCCCCCATGGGAAGAAATTGTTATTCAATATTATAAAGTTTTAGTAGCATTAAAAAAAGAAGATTATATTGAAGCATTTAAAGAACAAAATACTTTGGCCATGTATCCTTTTTATTATTTTACCGTTTATCCAAGAAAAAGAGTTTGAATATGATGAATTATTACACTTAAAGAAAAAAAGAAATTTTTTAAAGTTATTTCAAACACTTTCAAGATGGTCTTTACCTATATTATACACTGTTTGTTTAGATTTGAGGAATCTTGCAATAATGGTGAATTTTTTAGAATTTTATTGTTATATAACTACTACCGTGTGATGTATGTGAATGCTTGCAATATTTATAATATTTATTAATTGTTAAAATATTTTATTAGTCAGATATAATGTTTATGAGACTTGGTAATGATCCAACAAATTTAGAGATAGCAGCAAGAACTATAAATAAGTCATTTGCAAGTTGTATAACGGACAGGTAAATTATATTTAAATTTATATATTTATATATATTTTATTTACATCTATATATATACATATAACATTGAAAAAAAATATAAATTATTAGGGCACCATCTAGTATTTCACGTAAATGGGGAACTTATTATATTGCGGGATTATTGTTTAAAACATATTTTAAGGTTAACTGCTAATAACCATAATATTATTTATTGATATAAATAATATATTTATTAAAAATTAAATAGTAATCTGTTTTTCTTCTTCTTCTCAAACATAATAATAATAGTTGAAACAACAAAATTTATGTAAAAATGTAATGAAATCAATAAAAGCATCAGCAGATTTGCCTCCATTCTCGGAATTTCCTAAACCACACAAAGTTACATTTTTATATTATCATGGACTATTATTATTTTTAGATGCTGATTATGCACTGGTATGAAAATTTGTTTTATTAAATAAATAAAGTATTACATTATACTATATTTGTTATACACGAAAAATTTACTTGATTAGTAATATAATGATTAAATTAGGCCGAAGAGAAATTTGTAGCAGCATTTAGGATGTGTCCAAAGAGCTCGTTTAAAAATAAAGAGTATGAGATTAATCATAATATTGCTTTATTAATATTTAAATGAAACTTTCTAATAATTCATCGATTCATTTATTCATTAATTCATTCATTAATTATTTAATTAATTAGATTGATTTTAAGATATCTCATTCCAGTTTGGCTGGCTAAAGGAACTTTACCTTCAAAACAATTACTTTCCAGCTATCCTAGAATGTACAATATATATTCACCATTTATTGAATCAATTAGAGACGGTAATGTTAAGAAATTTGATGAATCATTAGTGTTGAAGGAGAAGTTGTTGGTTGCACAAAATACTTTTCTAACAGTTGAATTGGCAAGACAAATTGCTGTCAGAGTATTATTTAAAAAAGTGTACGTAGATATAAATAAATAGAAAAGTGTTTATTATTTACTGATATGTATACTTTTTTTTATAGATATTTAATTAGAAATCGAGGAACTAGATTACCATTAGGAGTATTTCAGGCGGCATTAAAATTTGTTGGTATCGATATAGAAATGAAAGAAGTAATGTGGTACATGGCTTCAATGATTCAAAAAGTAAGAAGTGTTGCAATTTCATATTTATAATAGAAACACGTGATATAGTAATAATCATTACGATTTAATTAGGGACATATAAGAGGATATATGGCACATCAAAAACAATTTTTAGTGTTGAGTGAAGCAAACCCATTTCCGCCATTAGGAAACAACAATTTACCTGCATCTTCTACACCTTCATTTTTTTTAGCCAATAACAAATAAAATATAATTAATAAAAATAATAAAAAAATATATTTAAAAATTATTTACTAAAATCATTATTTATTAGTTATACAACAGTTATTAATCATTTATAACAGGTATAGATAATCAAAAGATTTTACAATTAATTATCTATCTAATTATTCTTCTTTTAAGACTTCTAGCATAAATTCTTTATCATCTTTACTATCAAGGCAAAAAAAAATTAAAGCTTTCCTATAATATTGTATCTTTTTTTGAAGTATTCGAACCAATCTTCAAGAACTTTTAACTATTGTTAAGAAGTGATCACGTGGAGAAAAAGGAATCAATTAATTAAACGTTTCAAAAATTTCTTTCTTAATGTGAAAAGTAAAAAATTAAAATAAAAGACAAGTAATTACTTGTTTATCATCCAAACTACTATAATCTGCGATTACATCTTCTGGTTGTAATGAACCCATTCCAAGTGCCTAAATAAAAATCTATTAATATAATCCAACCTTTATAATTATAACAATAACAATAATATTATCATTATTAAGTTACCTTTGAAGCATCTTTACCAGCAAAAACATGATAACTTCCACCAGGTCCATAACTTTCTCTTTTAGTTGTTACATCAAAAATTGTACCTTTTATAGCTACATAGATTGGTTGACTTGCATCTGTACCATCATACTAATGTTTATATATATATATATATATTCATCGTCATTATTACTAAATAAGATTATATATAAAAAGTAATAATATTTAATAAACAATTAATTTACTTTTGCAAGTTCTGCTGGTGTAAAAAGCGTATCTTTTGGTGGTTGTAAATTAGGATTGACGGAATCTTTTGATGGAGGTGGTTGACTAGAATGCAAGAAATATGAAAATTAACTTTGAAAAATGAAAAAATGATATGATTGATGGTTTTTTTTTACCTCATTTTTTTCTTTAGCTTTTTTTCTTTATTAATTTATTTATGAAAATATAATTTATTTTTTTTTGATGAAAAGAGTTTTGATGAAAATAAATATTTGATTGTACTATTTATACTATTTGTGTATCACAAGACCAAATTTAATAGATGATGGTTCATTCATTGTATATATCGTGAAATATCATGTCATAATTAAAGAAAAAAATTTCATTTTTATTATGCGTCAAGGTTTTTTTTTTTTTTATCAATCCGTTTTTATCCGCTATTATTAACATCATATATAATGACAATAATATAGTATTAGGTAATATTTATTATTATATACATATATTATTATGATCATCGTAAATATATTTTCCTAAAATCTGATAAAAATTAAAATAAACTTATCAGATTTTTTTTAATAAACAAGCGCGCATAAAAATAAATAATATAATATAAATAACAACAATAATGTAATCATAATATATCTATCTATTACTTTTTTCCGTTAATTCATTCTTTAAATCATTTACACAAATTTTTTTTTACGCCATCCCCTAAATAATCATAACGAATGATACATCGCATCAAATATATATCAATCCGAGTAATAATTGATATAATAATGATGATAAATCATTTACGGTCACTGTAAATTAATTATATAAAATTAAAATTGGTGCAACTAACTATTAAGTGATTGATTATGTATAAAAAGAACTTTACGATCAGCCACTTCTATTGGATATTTTGAAGTGGATCTAAACTTTTTGGATAAGATGATTTGGAATATCACCAAAATATAGTTTATTAAAAAAAAAAAGTTATAGGAAGAAGGACTCTTATTATATCATGACCATGTGAAAAAAAATTCAAGGTGAACATTAGTATAGTATATATATATATATATATATATATATATATTAGATTTCAAAGATAAAATTTAGCAATTGTACCACCACCAATGATTGAGTTTGCAAAATTTACCCTGTGTGCAGAAAGAGAGGAACTGAATTAGCAGAAGTAAAAAAGCAAAGAAAACAGTAATAACATTTACCCAACAAGAATTTCTTTGATTCGTTAGCATCCATCCGCATTAATTCGATCAAATTAGAAAGTGAAGGTCGAACAGTTTTTTAGTTTTTTTATGAGCAAAAGCAGCAGCTAAAAAATCAATTTTGATAAGTTTGCTTTCTCATAATTAAGCGATTTAGTGGCAACAAAACTTCCTCTAGGGCTTAGTTTTTTCAATATTTTCGAAACAAATTATAAATATATTTGATCGGATTTTGGTCTTTCATTACTATGTTATCTTTTCATTATGATTATTTTTTCACGGTCTCTTTTTCTATATGTTTCTCTGAGAATACTTTTGAAAATCAAAAGAAGCAAAAAAGTAAATGGCGTCGTCAAAGCTTTCCCGGAATGGTAAAATATTTTATATATTCGTTGTCTTGGAATGTTCATTTGGTTTGTTTAGCATAAATACATTCTTCAATAAATTTAGTTCTAACTTGCGCATTCCTTTTTCTTGAATTCAAGCATCTATTTATCTACCTATCAGGAATTCTAAAACACACTATCCTAAAGCTAAAGTAATTTTCCAAATTCAGTTTTTCAAAATTTGCATTTTTTCCTATTACTATTGGTATAGATGGCTGCAACTTTTTGATTTTTCACTGCAACAAAGAAGGTAATAATCTTCCTTGAAGAATATTGTTAGTTTAGAAACCATACACACTTATCTATTTTCTTTTAAAGTTTTAAAGGCCATTTCAAATACAAATGTTTTTTTGTATTTTGCCAATGGGTCTCTTCCTGTTTGTTGCACACATATGTCCATGTTCTCGACAAATTGACTTAATTATACTGGATGATTTATCTATTTATTCTATTATCATTATTTAACTATTAAAGTAAAACCTCCTTGATTATTATTATTAGTATTTTTTTTTATAATAATTATTCGTTTATTTTAACTTGTTAATATATTTATATGGTTGATTAATTGGTGGTGGTAATAATGGCTTGATACAGCAGCAACAAATAGTGTTAGTAGATGAGTGGCTTAGGCAGGCTCTGACCTGATCTGATTTTCTGGAAGGTTAATCTGATATGACCTGGTTAACAACAGATTAGATGTTTTATTATGTGTTAATATTAACATCAACACTTTTAATTATCTACATGGACTATGCCATACAAGTAAGAAATAGAAATCAAAACAAATGCATATAAGAAGCTAGTTTCAAACGTAGCAATTACTCCTCTTAATATGATCGAGACGCAAAGACAATTTCGACTAACATCCATGGTTTCGAACGAATACAAGAATCTACTCTTAGGTAGTAGAAGTAATAGAAAGCTACCAGTGTAGCAATAGAAAATAAAATAAAATAAAATTCCAAGGTAGCTTTTTTGTTTAATACCGGTTATTTACGATTATTTGGACTCTTGAACACTCAATAATTCATCAACTAAATCAATTCAAACAAAATATTTCAATTAATAACTTATCAATATCTAAAACACAAGATTTTATTAATAATCATTTAATAGGTGGTTAATTATAAATTTTTGTAATCATCATTTATAATAAATGAACATTAACCTCTTGAATTCAAAGTTTAAGGTGTATTCTTACACTGTCAACATATTCAATTAAAAGCACTTTGGCATCAACCAAACAATCAAGTTGGGAAACCAACAAACTAGGCTCCATATCTGAGCTGTTCCTCAATTCATCATAGTTATATGATGCGACTTTATTGTATTGTAGAAGTATACTTGTTGTGCGTGAATTTGGAATCTGAAATTCACACGCGTGAAATTCAAATGAGCCAATCAGAATTTTGTATTCAAACGCCCACCCCAAAATTTAATTGGTAAATTTAACATTTTAAAAAAACATTAAAGGAAAAAATCAAAGATGAACGAGATGGAACATGTGATTGTTTTACAAGCTATTTTAGTTTCTTTTTATAAATCACTATTAATCCAATTCTCAACCCGCAGGAAAATGAAAATAGTGAAAGTTTCTTATAATTCAATGTTGAGTTATACATTGGTGCCTAATAAACTATTTTCCACTTCGTTTATTTAGTTATTCATTTGGTGCACTGTTTACAATATTGACTAACTTGTTCTTCTCTCACATATTTTATATTTTCTTTGACTACAATTGTCAAACACAAAAAATCTGGTAAGATGATTTACTGCCATATCATTGTTACTGGTTGAGTTTTATGCTTAATTAGGTTTGTTTTATCAGCATTAGATTTCTCAACATGATGGATAAAAACATGCCAAATCTTTCAAAATGGGCAAAAGAGTGGACTAAGGATAGTAGGCGAAGAATGGACTTTGATTCCATAATCATTAACCAGCTAATGCATCTGGCAGATATTTGAAACATTTATCAACTCGGTGCATGATTGTTGAATATCAAAGAGAGAACATGAATTTGTACTTGACCTGGCATCTATGACGTACAGAGTATTTTCAGACGAAGGTGAAAGGGCAGATGCCTTTAGGCTCTGACTTGAGCTATTTTTTTGATAATAAAATGGATATTCGAAATTACAAATGGAAGTATCTATCCGAAAATAGGGTTCTTTTGGCAAACTTAGAAGTTAAACCTGAACCTGGTATGAACAATAGTCGTTATACTCAAAATGATGTCTATTAAAAGGAATTTGTAATCAAGCCTCGTAAACAGGAATCTATGTTTTATGATAACACCTTCCTGACCGCTTTTCTTATTAATCGAGAAGGTTTGTATATCTTTATATTTGTTATCACGAATCCCAGATGTGCACCAATCTTAATACAGGACACAATTTATCAATACCTGGTGCTTTTCATTGCGTGTGACCATCTTACGGACATTTTCCCACCAGACATAATCATACTAAGGCAGATGACATTCCACAAGCATCTTTGCTCTAAAAAAGTGTTCACACGTATTGAAAGATTATTATAATTCTGTTTATGAGTCAAAAACGATCCTTCTGAAACTATTCACAATTTCTGGACATTAACTTCCATGCATCACTAAAAGAAGGAATGGCTGCTATCAAATACAAAAAATGATATAAGATTTATGGATTGTGGAAATCCAGTCTGAAGATAAACAAGATAAGGGTTTAGCCAGAAATATTCTGAAGAAACACATATAAACTAGGTTTAGCACTCAAATTATGGAATATTTGAAGAGGTATGAAACACTGAATGCTCTTGATTCAGAAATATTTTCTCAAACAGAAAACATAGTTAGAAATGCTGTAAAGTCATTCCATGATTCTGGTTATGTGTTCATAATGAAAATATGGAAATATACTATGATTGGGCAGGGAGAGAAGGGGAAGCAAAATATTCTGAAAGTCTGAACCCTAACTGGCATCCAGGTGCTGGCTGTCATAACCTCATCAAAAAGGGTCATAATGAACATTTAGTTGATGATATTTATTGCAAGATAATGTATGATGAATCTCCAAAAAGTGGCTGTCTCTCTCTGAGTGGATGAATTAACCATAAAAAATTTACAATATATATATATATATATATAATGATCAATATTGAGTTAGCTATATATGTTTATAATTTTATTGATATTGGTTTCTATTATAATCAAAAAAACCCCTCTACTTTTAATTTAATTTAATTTTTTTAAAGAAGGATCTAGAACAAAAAAAAAGCATAGCAAAATGGATATGATCATGAGAATGGGAATTATCTATTTTCCAGGCCAACAGCAAAACAAACTTCTCTGCAACAAACTTACACACAAGGATTTCAAATGGGCTCATGATAAAAGAAAATTTCAGAATCAGTTTAATCTGATCAAATTGGTTATATTAGTAGTAGTGATAATAATAGTGATAATTAGTTAATAATAATATAGTATAATAATTTCATCAAATATTATTATTAATATAATATTAACATTAAAAGATCAATTAAATTTAATATTTAACTTATTTGCCAATAAATAACAATATCAATAATATTCACCAATAAATAATATTTAATTCCATCACAAATAACTTCACCACCAATAAATAATTATTAAATCATTCCACAAATTGATAATTCTTTCATTTGTTGTAAGACAGTCTCAACCTTATTATCACTATCTGGAAAATGTTTTTGTAGGTCATTTAATCTATCGTAACTTTCTTGACAAAATTTCAATTGTATTTTCACAAGTGCTTCAAAAGATGGATCTATATATGGAACTCTTAGATCAATTAATTTAGGCAACTCTTCTACCAATTGTCCATTCAATGACTCATATTGTAATCTTGTCTCATTTAATGCTTCTTCTGCCTAGAAATTATATACAGTATAAATAAAAAATTAAAGACATATATTATAATAAATATGTTATTGTCTCATTCATTACTTACTCTTAATAATTTACTTGAATCTTCTGGTTTGTCGGATTTGTCAGACTTGTCAGACTTGTCAACCAATTTTCTAACTTTTGCACGTTGAGCATCATAATCCAATAATTTCTTGTCTCTTTTCTTTACTGCCTCATTTATTTCTGGGAAATATGCACAAAATCTTCCAATAGGATTAGTCACCGTATGTTTGTAAGGTTCATCCTATATAAGAATAAATAATCGATTAATATCACAGCTTAACATAATCTAATTATTATATTATGTAATATGATAATAATTAATTGAATTATTTGTTACAAACTAAATATGTTCTACAATTATGATCAATCAATTCAACCGTTTCTTTATATTTATTTCCAACAAAAACTGGCTCTGATGAATCTTCGTAAAATTGGTTAATTGTTTCTGCTATTTTTAATTGTGCTGTTGACATTGCTAATTAATTAATTTTAGATAATTTGAATTAATGTAAAGTTTGGAAAAACTACAATGTCACAAATAAATTTATGCACTAACCATGCATGGATTCTAAATATCCTTTAGCTTCTTTATGAATTTTTTCAGCCTTTTGTTCAAGACTTTGAGGGAGAAATTAAAATTATAACAATTATAATAATTAGAATTATTAGAATAAATCTTGCAATTAAAAAAAATCATACAAACTTTTTTATTCGTTTCTCCTCTTCGTCAAAATTTTTATCAATCTACAATTTTCATTATTAATAATAATATTATTCATTATTCATTATTATAATATTTAATAATGCAATGCAATGCTAATAATTACTTACCGTTTTCTCGATTGTACCAATTTTTTGTGATAACTACTCAAAGTAAAAGCAAATAAATTATTAATTAACATGATTCCTGATGCGTCTTTTTCAATTAATTATTACCTTGGTTTGTGTACGATCAATTTTCTTTTTAAATCCAGACCTAAATATAATCCAAAATACATATTATATATAAATATAAACAATTGTTAGAAACAACCTTGAAAAAAGAAACTTACCAACTCATTTTCTTTTAGTTGATTGCAAAAAATTATAACGGCAATAATTTATTATTTATATAAATCAAAATAATTATATGCAACAACATTACACGAAATGCGTTAAAAAAAAACAAAAAACTGTGCAATAGCAGCGGGAGGTTTCGATCCTCCGACCTCGGGGTTATGAGCCCCGCGCGCTTCCTCTGCGCTACGCTGCTTAATTACGAAATTTTCCTTCGATAATTTCTTATTATTCATGTTACAATTACAAAATATATTCTTGTATCACGTCAATCTCTAAAAAATGGATTCCATATAATGAATTTAATACTTGGCTATAAAAGGTTTCGCAAAAGTTCATAAAACAACATCTTACGTAATTCCAAAAATAAGATTTCATAAGAGTTAAATATTTTTATTATTGTTAAATAAAAATTTATCATAAATATTAGATTAATTTATTGCAGTCAAACCTTGATAAGCCGAACTTTTGGGAATCACAAAAATAGGATCAGCTTATCAACATTCGGTTTGTGAAAAATGATTATTATTATTATTAATTGCCTAAATAAAGATGTATAAAATAATAAATTTTATTTGCGAATGATTTGGGTGATTGACAGTGGAGTAAACCGAATTTTATCATTATAAGACGAATTTTAAAACCAATTTACGATCATCAACTGGTTTTCACAAATATTCGGTTTAGAAAGTTGCATTTTATCAAACGTTAGGTTCGGTTTATCGAGATTTGATTTTATGATATGTCTAAAGGGTAGGTTGTATTAAATTTGTTAATTTTTTCCCAAGACTGGTCCAACTTCGAGCTGTTTTTTGATATTCTCCGGAAAAATTAAGGTCAATATCGGGGGTATTTTCTTCCTCTCAACCAAAAAAAGTTAATATTTATTTAATTGTTGATATGATTAGATTAAAGGTAGTTCATGAAAATGGTAATTTGTTATAGTATAATAGATGATTAGGATTATCTATAAAAATTCAATATTGACAATGTTAATAATCTAGAAAAAATTATTTGGTGTCGTTCCATACTTGCACAAAGTATATTTATAATTTTGGAATGATAGATAATGTGGGAATTACTACAGACAAGGGCCTTTCAATGATAGGTCACACAATATTCAAAAAGGAAGACCAAAATTATAAAAGATACTCTTCAATTTTATGCTGAATTGATAAAGAGATGTTGGGATTCTAATACCTGAAGCTGGAGATCTTTACACAAATATTATTACAATCCTTCTAGAGAAAAAATGGATATTCTTAAATTAGCAGAATTAAAACGACAAGAACTTATCAATTTAGAGAAATATTTAGAAGACATAGATGCATATCATTATTTAAGCAAAGAAGAATACATTCATTAAGTAGGCCATTAAGTGAATTATTAAATATTAAATAACATTAGAAGAATTTTGACATGTAATTTATACACGTATTAATTGTAATTGAATTAAATTAAGCAATAAAATTTATCAGGCGAAATTGGTTTAAAAATCGAAATAGAGTACTATGTATTTTGCGATACTATGTTTTTTATTTGTAAGGATGTTATTTCATTATATATAATTTAAATGAATTATCATTAAAAGTATTAGAAAATTGTTGTTGTTGTAAGGTTCCCATGGTATAATAAATCAGCTAATTGATGAATTTGAATGATGCTTGAAAGAAAGGATAAAATTGAGAAATTGAGAAATTGGCATGTAAATGTGAAAATGAAGAGTTAGTTAGCTCAATCGATACAAAGAAGTCATAATATGAAATGGATTTCATTATGAATTTAATAATGTTACAATTTTAGCTAGTGGTGGATTTGGTTTAATTATTATGATATCAGATTTTACATCCAAACAAATACCCAACCTATAAAATAAATTATTATTAAAAAAATCCTGAGGAACAGTTTTGAAATTTTCCAAATATTAGCATGGACATTTTCTTTTTTTAATCATATTTTCTCAATTTTTTTGAGATGCTTTGAAGCCCATTGTCATCATCTACCTGTTTACATACAAACATTTTCTCTGTATACACTCTTGATGAACAAATAAAGAAGACAATTTTTTATTAAACCACTCATGTTAATTATTTGGTTTTGAAAATTAATTTAATAAACCTCTCAAGTAAAGCTCTGAATGAATTGAGCCGAGTTTATGCTTAGCTTGAGCCAGTTCGCATATAAAAAAGTGATGTCTCGAACTTGGCTTGAGCTCAAAAACTCAAATCGAGTCAAATCCTCAAGCCAACTCAAAATTTAATATTATTTTTCTATAAAATTACAATTTTGTAGACTACTGAAAATAATTGAAGCAATAATTAACTATAATGAATTGTATAGCATGTTTGAACTTTAAAACATTTAAATAATTTTACGACAGACTAAAAAATTCTGAAAATTTCAATGAGAACATTCTGTTTTGATATCTGTTTCTAATAAAAAATGTTTTTTAGGTTTTGGAATATATGCATAAGAAAATTGCATTTAAATTTCGTTATTACTAAATTATGTTTTTAAAAATTTGAGAGAAAATTAAACATCTTTATTATTATTGAATTGGGCTAGAATTCCTATTCTCAATACAACTCAATTAATTGTTTTATTCATTTATTCGAATTATTAATTTATTAGTTTATGTTTTTTTATTCATTTTATTCATTTTGTTTATTCGTTTATTTGTTTTATTCAAATTGTTTGTTTTTTTTATTGTTTTATTTATTTTATTTGGGGTTTTTTTTATTTGTTTAGTTCACTTTATTCTCTAAGTTGAGCAGACTCGAGTTAAAACTTGAAATCATTAACCACATTGTTTGAATTGTAATTCAATTTCTATTTATTAGACAAAGAATGTCTGTATATCATACATTTAATCATCTTTGCACGTGAATTTGTTCTAATAATTACATAATAATAACAATGTTGGGACAATATGAATAGAAATTTGGTAACTGCATCATGATTATGTTGCAACACTATGTATAATATATAAAGTTACGTACGGGTAAAGACACCTGCCATAATTGGTTATTTGCGGCAATGGTAGCTAACCATTATTATTATAAAAATAAATATGGCTGCCGTAAATAGATACAACTGCTGCAAATTTTATTTTTACACATAATTTCACTGTAAATGAATGACCGACTTATTGAATTCACCAATTCAAAAAAATTCAGTTACTGCAGATCAAGAAAATTTTCGCATGACTAATAATGTTAATGACAATAATTGAAAACTACTTCCGGCAGTCGTAGTTATTTGTGGTGGCCGTATCTATTTCCAGCAGCCGTATTTATTTACGGCAAATGGTAGCTACCAACAGCTATTTACGGCAATGGTAGCTACCAGCCCAATCATTTACGTCAGGTGTCTTTAACCCTTACACACAAAAATAGATTTTGACTGTAATTAATTAATAAAGACAGTGTGATTGATTCCTAACCTTTTCTGATGATTAACGGCATGGCCAACCTTTAATCATTAATTAGGAACCCTTTTGATTTTACTATGTTGCTTGGCGGGACACCTCAAGTACCATAGTTGTATATATTTCTTTATTTCTTTTCATGTTATATAGATATTGCATGCAGCTTGGAGGAAACAAAAGACACTCACAACAACCAGAAATCATCTGCAATAATTAACATGTGCAGTTGAGGGATAAAACAGGGATACCTACCAGAAATCATCTGCAATAGAATAGTATTTAGTAGCTAATACTAAGAATAACAAGAAAGCAGTTAGTGGCTAATACTAATAAAAGGAAAAGTCAAGATCTCAGAAAAGCATATATTATTGGACATAAGGTTGCTTGCCAAAACCTCTTAATGACTACTGAAACTCTAATAACAATTAGTGTGTAATCTGCTGAAACTCTAATAAACAATTAGTGTGTAACTCTGCCAATTGGAGTTTTTGCAAGCAACCATAATTGGACACTAGTAAAGAAGACTAGTGCTATAGAAATACCTATTTTATCAAAAACTCAGATCACATGCTCACAGTGGAGACGTAGTTAGCCACAATTCAATTTTCTTATGTTTGCAACTGCAATTCAATTTTTATATGCCACAATTAGCAATTATAAAAGATATTAAAGTTTTATCATTTCTCATATTGACACCTACTCCTATAAATTACAAGTGTTAAGAGTATATTTACACTCATTTGTCAGAGATGAATTCAAAGGTATTACTTGTCCAATACTGACTGGATTCTCTATGGTCTTGACCTATTGATTATGATTTACTTCCTTGAATAGTTTTGTTTATACATGCAGCCCAAAACTGCCATAAAGGGGGTTACACGTGTCATAAAGGGGTGTTACACTTATGTTTTTAATAGTGAGTGCCGTGATTAATTTCTACTTTCTACCCAATTTTCAAATCATTTACAGCAAAATTGAAAAGAAAATCTATAATGTAATGCCATTTTTTGAGTAGCCATAACTTTACATAGAGAGTTCCTTTTGATACAAAAAAACATTCATTAGAAAGCTTTAATAGTGCAGTTTTACTTTCTTTAATAATGAAGTTTATCTTTATAATGAAAATAATGAGATGTTTATATGAAATGATAGAACATAGTGAAAGTTTGAAATGTTGCACTAATTTTTTTATATTGTACAACGTAACTTTACAATTCACGGCAAACATTCTGGTAATAAAAAGTAAGTGATAAAATGGATTTTAATTGGATCTGAACTTGATCTCTCCAATTTAGATAGGTAACAACTATATATATACTGGTGAAGTTTCAGGAGCAATGGGTTCTGTTTAACATTTCGTGTAACAACAAACTTCCACTATGCTAAATGATAGTATATTGTGGTAGTACAATTGTGATGCTAAACAATTTTGCCTAATTTGTCGTATTCGTCACTGTTTTTTTGCCCTCCACATTTATGAACTCTTGGCGTCTATGAGCAAATAAAATTAGAAAAGGGGTGAAAATTTTGCTAGAGAAAAATCCATTTTACATTGTTGATCTATTTTGGAGAAAACG